TATAAGTTTCTTCGGAATAAAGTTTAAAAAAGGCTGATTAGAATATCTTAAGTGGCTATGGATGCATACTGATAATTCTGTAAAAAGCCAACCTTTGTATGCAGTCCATTTTGCTTACACTTGCACCAGAAATTCAGGGAGTCTTGCTTTATTGAACTTTTTCAACACCCTGATTAAAAAATGTTTGCTGTTTTGGGGAATTATGCCTTGTAATTGTGTATGGAAGTTGTTTCTCAGATTTTTAAGAACAGGTTGGACAACACTTGTCTAGGAGTGATCCTGCCTGTAGCCAGAGGGTGTCAGAGTAAATGTCCTTCTGAGGTGCCTTTCAGCCCTACTTTGATTTTAACAAAGCTCACAGGAACTTTTTTGTTTTTAAAGAAAAATTGCATATGTTCTGGTGAAAAGGATTGCAGAATAATAAATTAGTTTACATATTTAAACACTGGCGCATAAATCTTCAGAGGCCTTTTTAAATATAAAATATTAGCTTGATGGTATATGAGATATAGCATCTCTTTCTTTGTCACATACCGCTTTGTACAGAGAGATGGTCAAGCTTTGTTTCAGCTTTATTTATAAATGCATGTCTGCTTTTCCTTTAAAAAAAAGTCATAATATAACCTCTGCAAATAATATTTTTAATTAAAAGGAAATGAAACAAAATAAACTTTTGTTATTAAAAACTCATTCTAACAGTTCCCCTTCAGGAATCAAATTATGTTTTATTATAGTTACTATCTTTCCTAAATAGTCATTTTTCAAGAATGTGTTTCCAAAGAAAGGCCACTTTCCTGAGTAGCTCTTTTTAAACCATAGTTTAAACAGAGAAGGTAGGGACAATTTTTTGAAGATAAAAAGGAATTAACTCCCAGATCTGCTGCTAATCGGTGGCCAATTTGGGAGGCTGAGCAAGGCAAGGGGTGAAGTAAACTTCATATGTATCTTCCCCCTGTCTGGAGAAACAAGCTCTGGTGCAAGGGAGACCAGTGTATACTGTTTTGATTCACTTGGTAGGGGGAAAAACCCAGCTTCCCTGCATCTCAGTGACTGGCAGGAAGACCCTAGTCTTGGTATTTCAAGGAAGAGCAGGCGGACTCCATCCAGCTCCTTGCTGCATTTCAAACTAAACCACTCTCAGAGAAAGCAGGAAGGAGACAAAGCAGAAGGAGGTGGTTCTTCCTGCATAACAGGGGAAGCTAGTAAAGTGTGAATGAAAATTATAGGGGGCTGTAGAAATTTTGATTCCTTTTGCAAAACTAGCTGCAATAGGGAGAGAGCCTTTTTCCAGCACTCCAGTGTAATTACAGAGCAGAAAAGGAGGAGCTGTGCTCTTGAAACTAGTTTGCTTGAGTTAAATTAAAACCTTTATTAAACCTCCTTCAGGGTGAAAAGCATTTAAATTTATTCGGAGGATAGAAACAGCTGGTATGGCCTATCTTTGTTACCATAATAGCCTGTATGACTAATTCCTCTTCAGTCTCTTTGGCTAAGGAAGGTGTTTCAATGGATTAACTGCACAGAGCTGCACTTAATGCTCACACTGGCTCTCAAAGTACTTCTGTTTCAGTTTGCTTTCAGTGGTATATGGGGAGTTCACCATACCTTGGTAAGCTTTCCTCTGTTTCAGCTTCTCAAAGAACCATTGAAAGCACTCTTTTTGCTCTTAGTTCTCTTTATTTGGTAATCAGAGGATGGTAGGCCATGTTAAACCAAAGTCAGGCAAAAAGTAGGGCAGGATGAAATAGTTCCAAATGAACATTTGTCCAAAAGGGGATGGGGGAGCTCTTGCTCCAAACTGTGCAGCAGGTGTATCACTCCCAGCTTGTCCACCTATAACTGTTAGAGCGTAACAAGTGTTGACACTGTGTCATCTATATTGTTCCTAGCTTGTCCACATATTTGCTGGAATGTAACACCTGCGTCATGCTCCCTGTCAGCAGTTCCTCTTTTGAAACTACTCTAAGTGTACATTTGTGATACCCTTGGAGAATGACTGGTTCAGAGGCATGAGGCTTTGTATGCAGCAGTCTCCATTGTCAGATACTTTATTTGGTGATGGAATCAATATCTTTGGATCTGAACTAGCCTGGCTATCTCTTCTCCTCTCATAGGTCTCTGGATCCCATTTGCAACTAGGGATTCAGAAATAATTACTAATGAGAAATCTCTCTTCTTTATCTTTGGGTCCTCAAAATAGTTTGTGGTTGAGGTAATAACAAATATGGAGTGGCCCAAGTGAGTGTAGTTGCTAAATACTATGCTTAGTTTCAGGATAAAGAAACAGCAAGGACATAGCAGAGACAGACAAAATATGGCCTGCCAGCTGGATCTAACCAACCAAAGGATTTTATCTGGCCTGTGGCGTTTTTTGGCCCCGCTCATCCCAGGTGCTGGGTGCAGCCCAGGCTGTGGTGTGTGTGGCTGGTCCTGCTGCCCCGGACACGTAGCGGGACTGGGACAGCATGGCAGCCAGACTCCTCTTCCTGGCAGCCCAGATGGCGGCAGCTCCTTCTGGCTGCTGCTGACACTGTCACCACCACTGCTGGACCTGGCCCTGCTGCCCTGGTACCCTGGCCTGTCCGCCCCACCCCCGCTGCTGGGGGCACTTGACAGATCAGGCAAGGATATCTATGGAGATCAATCCAGGACTCCTGTGGGCTGGCTGAGTGTATGGGATGGGGCCACAGGTGGGCGAGGAGCAGTATCTGGGCAGGGTGGGATCAAATCGGGGTGAAAGCAGAGAGCTGTGCTAGAAGCAGATTGCAGCTCGGCCTTGGGCCCCAGCACCACACTGTCACTGCCCTGCAGTCCTAGCCTTTCTTGTCTGTCCTGCTCGTGGACACTGCTTTACACCCATCCTTGTCCCCATCCCCTCCACCTGGCTGAGCACTCCCTACCCATAGGAGTCCTGGGCCAATCTCCATGGAGACCATCTCCTGCTCACTCCATCCAGTGCCCCCAGACTGATCTAGTAATCTACTGCTTAAGAAGTATTGGTGAGCTGTTGTGGTCCTGGGGAGGGGAGGGGAATGCTGACCCAGCCCACACAGCTCTCCAAAACTCCCCAAGTGTCCTCCCAGCCTAAATAATTGCCCATCCCTGACATAGAGAAAACTGTCAGGGTAAAATTGGAGATTTTCATTTTGTGGAATAACTAAATTAATTAACTCTTCTCCCTAAGGAGTTATTAACTAAGAATAACTCTTCTTCCCCTCCCTTCCCCTGCCCCCCCAAATAAAACTCAAAGTAAAACAAAATAGGTTGAACCTAGGAATTTCATGGCAAAAGCATAAACCTCCAGCATTTATGCTAAAGTAATTGCTTGCTATTATGGGGACTTGTTGTCTGGTGCTTATTTCCCCACCCTGGATTCAATCCCAGCTGCCAAACACAGGTGGTTATTGCAAAACTGGCCTGTTGATCCCTGCTGAGATTTTATACTTTTAAGTTCTGTGTGGCCAAATTGCTAAAGGGATACATGGTGAACTTAGTCACCATGGTACATTGCAGCTACTATATCTATCCTACAGGTGGAAACAGACTATGTAGTGGTATTACTAGCTGGTAAAAAAAAACATTTTGACATTTTTGTCTATTAAAGCTTGGCAAGAGGTAGCGCTGTGCAGAGGTATCTAAGCCGAATCAGGGAGCAGAATCAGCATTACCTGACTCTGGCCAGGCAAATATATTCAGCTTCTCAGTGAAGCTAATAGTGCCTGAGCTAGCTCCATGACCTCCTTTATACAGCACTGCATTGTCATGTTGGTATATCTTAGAGATGTAAAGTATTGAAGTACTGAAGTAAATGTCCTAATCTTGTGCTTCTCTCTCAATGGTATAAAAATGTCTGACTTTTCTCTTCCTGTTTTTTGCTGTTTTTCAGATAGTTATTAAAAAACGAGAACCCTTAAATTTTGGGGTCCCAGATGGAAGTACAGGATTCTCTAGTAGATTAGCAGCTACCCAAGATATTCCTTTTATTAATCAGTCTGTAAGTATGCTGTGTATGGTGATTCTTTATTTGTCGGGTACGTGCTGCTTATTGGTAAAAGGCAAATTCTGTCTAGAATGGAATTGCTGAAAAAGCATTAGAGCTGTTTGAGCAAGTGTTGCTGAATTTAAATTGAGGACTTAGGTGAATCACTAACTTTTTAGCTAATGAAAAGAAGAAATGAGAAGGGAATGCACTGCAAGTCAGCAAGGATGAGACACACCCTGGGTATTCACCCATCTCCCAAACCAATTGGCTGTAACTTTTCTGGATATTACATGTTAAGCCAGTGAAGGAATAGAGGAATGACCTGTATTTGTAGTGACCAGTCCATGAAGCTGCACGTACATCCAAATATATGATTCAGCACACATGAAGGGAAATGTTTTCCTTGACTACAGAGGAAATGTGTGCAGTACAAGACCTTGTGGGCTATACATATAATGTATGATGATGCTTGCCTAATTTGCAATGTTTAGTTAGGGTTAATTGGATTTTGCAAACACTCTAAAGCTACTAATTGTACTTTAAGTTGTCTGTACTTTGAAGTCTTATAAATATTCTAATTTTAAATCTTCATAACTTCTGCTGCTTTTTATCCTGGTAATTAAATTTAAAAACTACTATGGTCTATAGATTCTTGCCAGGTAAAAGTTTATTTTGAACAATTACAACATCACCTGTACTGTACAATGCTGAAGGCAGGAGTACCATCCCAGTCTCAACTACTAAAGTTCTCTCAAGGGGTATATAACATGAGTATCCAAGTTCTGCATGTGTTCAGTTCTTTTGCAGACTTGTTGATAGAGGTGTCTTAATTACTGTATCTATCCGTATCCAAGATTACTTTGAATTTAATATGATGCCACTCCCTCCCATCTCCCCCTGCCCCATCTACCCCATTAAATTCTAGACATGGAAAATTATAAATTTGTTATAATTTTCTAAGTTTAGAATCTAAGTATTGGGGGCAGGCAGTGGGGAGGCAGCAGGTGGTGGGGGTAGCATCAGCAGCATACAGATTCCTCCTTCCAGCATCTGCTTCCAGGGAAGGAGGAATTTGTGCGCTGTTACTGCTGTCCCAGCTGAGCCAGACGAAGCAGTATGATACTCAATTCTAAGTTGAGGCTTGGTTTTCCCCATGTTCAATATGGGGGAGGGAACTCATCTTAGAATTGAGTAAAATATGAGATACATGATCTCAAACTTTTGGCTAAGATCAAACAAGACTGGGGGCATCTGAACCCCAAGGTGTCCAAGCCTGGGGCTAGCACATAGGATACCTGCCTGGATTTGGGGAATATCTGAAGCCCCAGACGGATGGGTCTGGGAGGGAGGATGATTGTCTGATGGTAAAGCCACACAACTTGACACCTGAGCTCTCCTCAGTTGAATTTTGGAACTTGACTATTGGGCTTTGTCCAATTGAATCTGGAACTGATTTGGCCTTTGAAACAAAATGTATTAAAAATATAGTTTGTACCGGATTGCCAAAAAGAGGCTCAAAATTGTGTTTATAAAACACCTGTGCTAAAAACTTGCAGCAATTAAAAAAAAAAAAGGTAAAATACATCACTTCTGGATTAACTAAGTCTATAAGTACTATATGAAAATTGCTAAAGCCATGTTTAATTTCAAGCTTATTGTTTTCAAATTTGCTCCTCACTTCAGGTCTGACAGTAAGGGGAGGGGGAAAGGACTGTCAGGAGAAAAAGTTGGGGGGAAGCAGAAAGAAAAGGGCTGCCTGAAACCCCCAGATTTGTTTTCCCTACTTGTAGCAGTGGGAAGGGAGTTAAATTCAAGGCAAACCTCCAATAATTAGTTTCTATACCTGGAAAATTATAAGGACTTTATACATTTTCCATCTATAGAATCTGATTACTGGGGGATTGTCTTATTATTAAGGTTGTAGTAAATACAGTATTTTTTCCATGGTTTGTTTCAGCCTGAATTGGGAGATTTGGAGACCTGGCAAGAAAACTCTAATGCCTGGGAAGAAGGGGAAGATGCTGCCTGGCAAGCAGAAGAAGTTCTTAGGTAACTTGAAATATTTTATACCTGACCCGGCTCAGGAGGTGACTGAGCAATGTTTTAGGGACAACATCATTTTAGCCAAGTGTACAATGTAAAATGATTTGAAATATATGGTTAAATAGGATTTTCATTCCCCCCCTTCCTCTTCCATTTGTACAAATGTATACTTTGTGTAAATTGTCTTGTAAATAATTCAGGGTAATAGCTCCTTGAATATAGTATTATATGCAACGAGTTCTTACTATTAAGAGACTAGTCGTGTGTGCCAAGAATTTCGAGCATTAACATGTATTGCTTAACATCTTGGATAAAATGAAGTATGCATAGGATGGTATGACAACTAAATTTAAGGTGTGTACGTAAGTGGGGAAATTATGAAAACAGCTAGAGTCTAGAAATAACAATTGCAGTCTAAAACACTGTCAGTTTGTATGTTGCTGAGGCACTTTACTCCTAAGATTTATTCTTTACCTATGTCAGAATTTTACAGAATAATATAAATATCCTAAACTAATGGAAACTTCTTGAAAGGGTGTCAGTGTATAGTACTGCAGAAAAGCTATTCTGTTTAGATTTTTATACTGTGGAGGTAAGCATACCATCTGTTCTGTAATCTTTTTGTTTAAGCAAGTGCACAAAGGGTTAAGCAGACTTTTTTTTTGTACAATACTAGTATTGAATTTGGAATTTTTTTCCCCTCCCATAAATCAGTATGTAAGTATTTTCCACAATACTGGCTTAGCATAGCAATTAAGATGCTGTACCGTAAGACATGAAATGTAAAAATGCAACTTAATGTAGGGGTTTTCAACCTTTTCGGATTAGTGTACCCCCAGCAGCCGGACAGTGCTCCATCCCCGCCCACCTGTGTATACCCCTAGGGCCTTCTCAAGTACCCCTGGGAGTACGTGTACCCCTGGTTGACAACCCCTGGCTTAATGCATTATTATGGCTGTGCAGTTAGTCAAAACTGGGGAAAAGTAACAGTCTCTCATCTGTAACTTAGACCAATTTGTTTGTTTTTATGGTGTTTTTTATAATGCGAAATGCTGAGTAACAGTTTGTCAGAAAGGACAGTGGCAGTGCCCCAAGGCTCTGTCCTTGGACCAGTACTGTTTAATATCTTCATCGGTGATTTGGACAAAGGTGTTAAAAGCACCTTGTCCACATTCGCAGATGACACTAAACTATGGGGCATAGTAAATACACTGGAGGGAGGGAGTGAATTCAGGCAGATTTGGACAGACTAGGGAAGTGGACAGATCAGAATAGGATGCAGTTCAACAAGGATAAATGCAAGGTGTTGTACCTGGGGAGAGAGAATCTCCAACACACCTATAGACTGGGGGGTACCAGTCTGAGCACCACAACAATGGAAAGAGATCACGGAGTCCTGATTGATGCAAAAATGAACATGAGTCGCCAGTGTGACAAGGTAATAAGTAAGGCTAACTGCACTCCTTCTTGCATCAGCAGGAGTATCACAAGTAGGTCTAGGGAAGTGATAATTCCCCTCTATGCGGCATTGGTGAGGCTGTGGATGGAGTAGTGTGTCCAGTTTTGGGCGCTGCACTTCGAGAGGGATGTGGATAACCTTGAGAGGGTTCAGAGGAGGACTGCTCGTATGGTTGAGGGCCTGCAGGTAAGATCCTGTGAAGACAGACTGAGGGATCTGAATCTCTTCAGCCTCCGCAAAAGAAGGCTGAGAGGCAACCTTGTGGCTGCCTACAAACTCATCGTGGGGAGCAGCAGGGAATAGGGGACACTGTTTAGCAGGGCGCCCCTTGGGGTTACCAGGAATAATGGCCAAACTAAAGGAGAACAGATTTAGATTGGACATAAAGAAGAAATTCTTTACGGTGAGGGTTGCCAAAATATGGAATGGGCTTCCAAGGGAGGTGGTGCTTTCCCCTATCCTGGAGGTGTTCAAGAGGAGATTAGACAGGCATCTGGCTGGATGCCTGGAGCAGGGGGGTCAGACCCAATGATCTACCAACTCTAGAAATCTACGAAACCTATGAAATGTTAAGCATATGCAGTTTATCAAAGTTGTTATCACAATTAGAACATTTTTATGTTAACAGGCAATTTCTTAGATTTTCTGATTATCCACAATTATAAACTGAGGAATCTTGCCAGTATGTTAAGGTTGCTTTTGCTGTTTCATACATTTGCTTTAAGGAAAGAGAGAGCAACGAAGGAAGAAGGTAATAATTAGGTTTTCAGTGTTGTCTTGTGTTGAATAAGAGGAGCATTCTCACCTTTTGCTTCTTCACTGGCAGAAGATTGCTTTCTGTAAAAGGAGCATCACATCTGTTTACATTTTAACAACAACTCTCATAAGAAAAGGACTCTTTCCTATGACAGTATTTGTAGGATCTGTTTAGTGAGAGATACTAGAATTAGGTTGGTTTTTTTTTTAAATACAATATAGAAAAGTTGTCTTTCAGTTTGTACCAGTGAAACCTTGAATATACTACTCTCACAAACTTCCAGCAGTAGTCTCCGTTTCCCTACTTAAACTTTCTGCAGAAGCCAAGCAAAGAGGCACCATATTTTGACACTACAGGAAAAATAGAGCTTTTAGTAAAGTGCTTTTATTTCTAATATGAAAATGTTTAGAAAATTAATCTTTTTTTTGAAAAAATTTTAAGCTTACTGAAAAAAAATGCTACTGTGAACTCAGTTTCATTTTGCTGTAACCCTGTGTGAAAAATATTTAATTTGTTCCTAATTGACTCAAGATAAAGAAGCTTATTTATATTCTTACTCTGTGGCAACTCAAATAGTTGAACCTGTTTTATTCGCCTGTTTTGGTACTTAATTTAGCTTGAGGCCAGGTTTGGAAACACTGGCACATTTCTAAAAGCCAAGCATATAAAAACAAGATTGTTTTTTTGGTCATTTTTTATTTGGAGGTTCCACTCAAATGCAATTAAAATAGCTTAAAATTATATCATTCTTGGCTTCAGTATTGAACATTTCTAGTCATTTCTCAGGCCCTGCCTTTCTCTGAGGTATCTTGTTAATGGCCTCTTCTCTCATGAAATATCTATGAGCCATATGGCTTAAACTCCAAGTTTTGTCAGCATATTATACATGTTCGCCTATGTTCTTAAAGTGTCTGTGACCCCTTTTAGGAAAATCAGTGTGCCTGTAAGATGATATCTGTGACTGATGCATGACATAGCAGATAATGTATTGCCCATTTGAGGGTAGAAAGGGAAACTGAGGGGGGAAGATGATGCATACTCCTATATCTTTTCACTAAAAAAATATTAAGCTGCAACTACCTGCATCTTTTGCAGATTTAACATATTTCTCTATGGGATGTAACAGTTGCAGAAGGATCCCTCACTCTAGATACAGGCATCTCGCACAGAGGAACCATGTTAAAAGCATGATTAAGGTTGCAATGTCAAGTACTCAAATTCATGCTGGTCAGTGACGGAGTCTGGGTTTTTAATCACTAAAGCTGAAGTCTGTATTGTGTGGGTGTCTGGACAGCAGTTGTGTGGGGTTTTGTTTTCTTTTGTTTTGCAGAGGTTTTCACAGGCCAAATCTAGGTGCATTTTCAAGGGGATTGCAAAGCAGATCCTCTGCCTAAATTTCAAATTTGTCTGTTGTTTCAAAGCATGTGGCACTAGAACTTTTCTCAAGGAAAAGGTGATCTGCTCCAGTCCACCCGCCTCCCTCCCACATAGCAGCAGTAGTGCCAGCCGGTGGGGACCAAACTAGAGAAGCCAGGACTGTCCCAGTTTTCCCAGGATTTATGATTACCCTGCTTATAGTGATATTAAGGATGTGAGTAGAGGAAGAAGAGGATCAAGTGGCCTAAAGTTATTTTTACCATCCTTCATTGTGGGTGTTTTACCCTCTGCCCCAACCTGGTCACTTGCAAGACAGCAGTGTAACTCTCTGTTAGCAGTGTAATCTGGCTGCATAATCCAGCTTCATGAAATGAAAATTTGGGTAGTATGAGCCTCTACAAATTACACCCTGACGTGGTTGGAAAAGGAAGCAAAATCTAATGAACACTATTTGTAAATAACTCCTTCTGAATGCTATACATCTTCTAGGATATTCAAAGCAAATAGGGATGGGGATGCGGGTTCCCTGTACTTCTCTTTC